AAAAACCGCTTCGAAAAATTATACACTTCTCAATGTAGGAGTCACGGCGTATCCCGGAAGGAATCTATCGACATCACGAACCTTTCAAGCTGTTATTGTTTTGATAACTGCTGTTCAATGCCGCAGTAGGCGAAAGCCATCACAAGAATGCTGAGCTTATGGGCAGAAAGTCGGACCAGGGACGGGATCCCGTCCGTGGTCCGACTTTTGCCCATAACTCAGCATTCTTGTGAAACCACTGGATTTTATTTTTCTTTGACCGTCAAACCTAAGAATTTTCAGTGATGATACTATCCAGTGATCCTACCTGGACATGCATCTGGTTTATATCGCCAGAGCCCTCCTATATCGTTTGACATTTCGAAACATACTGCCTAAATTTCGCAGAATTACAAATAAATCTCCGAGTGGATGGAAACTATGAGGAAATGAGCAAATAACTAAGTAAACAAGGAAGTAAATAATTGAATAACATATAGATAGCACACAGTAGCACAGAACATTTTAAGTGACAACATTGTAGAACATTTAATAACATATAATATATGAATCCAATTGTAGGTTTCTTATTTATTTATTTTTCAACAAATAAAATAGTGAACAAGTAAATACATTGGTTTGCAGCCTAAGAACAAAAAAAAAAATTTTTTTATACACTCAATTTTCTACCCCAAAAACGTCAAAAATCCCCGAAGAGGCTAGGCTTGCCTACAAAACCATTCCAATAACACTTTTAGTAAACAAAGCAGAATAGCAAATTTTGAGCAAAACAAAAATAAAAACAAACAAGGTCAATAAACAGTGAAAAACGGTAACGGCTAACTTCCATGTAAGAATTTAGCATGCTTTCTCACCTCACAACCATCTTCGATGGCACTCTTGATGGCGGGCAGACCACTGCAACTGGCGCCACTAATTGCGCACACGTCATAGTGTAAATCTGCCATTTTGTATCTGAAATGCTGATTGATAGCCAGACAGTTAAGAGATTGAGTGGAGCCTCTATAGGCGTTCCAAAAAGAACCAAAAGAACAGAACAAAATCAGGAATGGTCTTGAAGATGACCCTTCATCTCAAGATAAGATCCCTTTGCCAGACAAGAAACGTGGAAAGTGAAAAGAACTTAAAATAGGAGACTTATGGCGAGCAGGGAAATGATAAGGCCTTGTACGCTAGTGCTGGATATTCCCTGCGGTGGAATCGACTGGACAAGGTCAGGTCAGGGACGAATTCGTGGAGATGGCCCCTATCCAGCTGGAAGAAGAGCAGCAACGCTGCCGACATGTGCTCGGAAGGCCTGAGGAGCATTCTATGAGAAACGCTTTAGACCTCTCGAAGCTCTGCGCAAGCGACACTAGAACACTGCAAGGATAGGCGGTGAAGTGGATGATCGTTAGGCGTGAACAGAGAAGAACTAAAGCCAAATGGCACAAAAATCGACAAGCGGTACAGCTTAGTACAAAGGCATAGTGTGCCTCTCAACAGGAGTCGCGTGGCGTCTTTCCAGCCAAGTGTACCCTTATAGCGCCCGACCAATGAGCAACATGCCTACCCCAATGCCCAACGAAACCGCCCGCCTACAAATGACCGTACAGCCACACCGACACTGGTACCCTTATCGCTTCATTTGTGGGGTGAAATTGATATGAAGTGTTGCTACATGGACATCTGAATACATATGTGCAGCAGTATCTATCAAAGAGATTGTTAGCACGACGCCAACGAAAAGTCTTTCCAGAAAAGGCTCGTCCAATATCCTGCAGAATGAAGTTTTTTTGCAGGTTTTTAGCCGTTTAACTTCGCTTTTTCGTTTTTGGGCCCCCTTGCTAGTATTTTTGAGCAACTTATTATGAACTGAATAGTTTTTTAACTTGCAGTTGAACATGATTAATGTGAACAGTTGTTCTCTTGACGACTAACGTGAAGCCGGAATAACGTGAGCAAGGGTGAAGTAGAAGTACATAGAAAAAAAAAAACTCTAAGTCCCTGATAACGTGAATAAAACATTGTGATTTCTCCACTTGCTCATTCGGTCTCCACCACAACTTCTTCCCAGCATTTTTTCCGGAGGAAGTCTTGAATGGTGACGAGATTTTTTATGGTCTGGGGCATCAGAGAGCACAGCCCGCTTGGTTTCGGAAGGCGTTAGCAAAAAGATCTTTTTTCGCTCTCAATGATACATTTCGCGACTGCAGTTTGTAGGCAATGGGGTTGAAAAAAGAAAAGTGTCGGTGCAGGTTGTAATCATCTAAAAACCTAGACGTTACCGCTAACGTCGTTGGTAGAAAAGCTGAGTGAAGTGCAAATGCCCTCTCGCAGTACTTACACCGTGTTTTTCCACTGCCTTTGGGGGGGGGGAACCGAAAAAAAAACAACGACTCTTGCACGTCAAGAGCGTTCGGGAGGGAGATCAGAAGAGACGAGCGAGAGAGCGCTATGGCTCACGACGACATGGACAGCTCGGGCCTGCATGGGCCCATGGGCTCAGGTGATAAACTCGCACCCCACATCAGGCTCATTTTCCAGCCAAGAGAAGTACTTCTTCGCCGGCCGCTGACCGAAACTGCCTGGTTGGAGAGGGTCCTGGACACTTCTCCAATGAGCGCAGCCTATGTTCAACAAGGTGAAGGGAACTTCTTAAAGGCAGTCGGCATGATAAATCCCCCCGAGTTCATTATCTTCGTAGTGCTAAGTGATATTGTCTAGGATTTCAGTTGTTTATTTCTGAGTTTTGTTGTACGCTTTTTATTAACTAAGAGTAACATGTCGTTGGGCATGTAATAAATAAATAAAATAAATAATAAGACGACTAGGATCAATACTCCTGGCAGGATAGAATTCCGCGGCCTTGGGCAGGCGCTGCATAGCGGTTTCCCCGAGGAAGGTGCCCTTATAAGGGCCCCATCAACTTCACGTCGCCAAACGCCCCTCGCCGCCGCCACAAACGGAGAATTGTCCTGAACACTCTCTAATCGATTCATTTGCTAAGGGCAAAATTACTGAAGCGAAAGGCATAGTATGACCGGCCGTTGATGACTGAAGCATAATATGAGTGTACATATGCAGCCGTATCTTCGTTAGCAGTGATTGGTAAGATGCCTACGGGAAACTCGTCCAAATTTGATCACTAATACAGTGAAAACGGAGGCTCTTTTTTTTGCAGGATTTTGACCGATACACTCCGTTCTTTCGCCATTTTCCCACTATACAGCACCCGTATAGAATTTTAGCGCTATTGTTATGCGAAACCATCCGTGCCACTGCCTTAAAATTCGGTATAGCAAAAAGTAATGGAAATGACTTTTTGGATGACTCGACACTGGACAGTGGGATTATGTGGAAACCGAATAAAGGGATTAGCGGCTAAGCGAGTTGGCATAGTTATCGGGAACCGGTGTGTGGGATAAGGCATACAAAGAGCAAAGCGCACCGGCATCACGCATAAGGACGTGTTCAAGACAGAAGTGAAGAAAACTGTTGGACTTGGTGAATTCTCGAGTAACTGAGGAAATGTCGACTAAACGAGAAGCATTTTCTGATGGCAGGTACGACAATCACCGGAATACTTGTGGCCCTGAATGGGTTAGTCTGTAAATGATAAAAACATTTTTTTCTCCAGGGTAAAATTTTGTGTGAAAAACAAGTTCTTTTGATTTGTTGAATATCGTTGAATAGAGAATCCGATTTTCTATAACATGAAAGCTTAACTTTTGTACTCGGTTGACTTTCGATTACTTCAGAACCTCAAAGACGCTGTCCGCGATAAAGAGCTGAGGTAATGGTGTCGGAATAAGAAGGAGAAGTTGCCAAGTGGCTCGTATATGGAGAAAAAAGCAAAGAGAACGTCGCAAACGCTATACATTGGACGCCTTCCAATCTCAAAACTGTAATAGTAAGAAGGTCGAAAAACCGTGTGTTGGGACGAGTTCAGTCGACTGGTTGCTTGTAATGAACACTATGACATCATGAGAGACAGTAAAGTATCCATTTCATGCCACTTGCCCGGCGCTTTTGGCGGGAAGACGGACTTCGCAGGCGGAGTCTGGAGGTGGAGTCACTGACTAAATTGGAAGGTTGCAACTGGGCAACTTACGCCTCAAAAGCACGTCCACTACCAGGTATAGAAGATGAAAGTTGACGTCGAAAGGGTAGTGTGGTCGCGATAAACAACATGTGCCGTTTTCGCGGCAAAAAGTTGTAAGGAAAGGTCATCACAATAAATGTTCAGTGAAGCGCTCCTTTCTCTCCAGTGGACGTCAACCTCCAGACTCCGCCTTCAAGACCCGCCTCTCACTAAAACTTAAGTGAAAAACGAAGCTGCAGGACGAAAAAGCATGAAAATCGTCACTTGTACGGTCGTAGAGTTCTTATCGGGGAATCAGCTGTGCGGATGAGGGCGTAGTGTTGGAGATGAGGTTCATTGGGCACGTGCGAATTGCTTTCGAAATTGTTCTTCCTAGGGCAGTTGTTATGTTTTTTTCTGCTTTTGTTCATCACTATCGAGTTACTCAGCACCTTGTCGTACATATGCAAACCCCTAATCCACTATCTGTGATGGCGAATGATCGCGGGTTTGCCTTTAACCCCTTTACCTTACCGCTTTGCGCCGCTATACGTGCACAAGGTCGTTCATCGCAGTGCACATTACCTTACCTACACTTTTGCGTTTTTTGTACGCTAGTGCGGTGCATTCCCTCAAAGGTACGACCTCTACGACCCTGCGTTTCTTGATAAATAGAAGCTGGTCAGTGTCCAGAGACATGTCCGCTTCCATACGCTCTCCAAACAAGTCACCATTTCTTGTGGGGTCACATGTGGCCCGTGGAGAGACAGAGAAGTTACGATTTGCCGTGAAACATTTTTTCTTACTGTCACATTTCAGGTTATGAGCGCTATCCCAACTATACCCACTCCCTTACCCGTCCACAGCTGGAACGCAAAATTTTGGGGGAATTCGGCAAGATGGCAAGTGGTATGGGAAGCGTCGCGTCGGAAAAGCGAAGAGGAGGCCTTAAAGGCGAAGCCCGCTATCACTCTCCATCACAGATAGTGGATTAGGGGTTTGCATATAGACGACAAGGTGAAGTAACTCGATAGTGAAGAAAAAAAGCAGAAAAAAACATGCCAACTGCCCTAGATAGAACCCCATTTTGATCCCAGTTTGTACGTGCCCAATGAACTCCATCTCCAACACTACGCCCTCATTCGCACAGCTGATTCCTCCATAAGAACTCTACGACCGTAAAGTGACGAATTTCATACTTAACGTCCGGCAACTTCGTTTTGCACTGAAAGGCGGGCCTTGAAGGCGGAGTCTGGAGGCGGAGTCACTGGAAAGGAGGCGTCACTGAACCTATATTGCGCTATAGCGCCCCTCCCTTACAATTTTTTGCCGCGAAACGGTACTAGGTTGTTCAGCGGGGACCACACAACCCTCCCGACGCCATATTGTCAACTTCTATACCCGGTCGTGGACCGTGCCTTTAAGCAAAATTTTCCCACTACTCATGGTCAGCTGTCTCCGAAGCAAGTCCATGTGCCGATTCTGCACTTTACCATACCGAGGCCTTGCAGGATTAAGTCGCAGCCGCGTCTCCCTTCCCCTTGTCACTCCCCCTCTTCCATAAACGGCAAGCGATTGTCAATGACTCATCGACTAATGAAGGATAGTTATAACGTAGAAATGGTCCTAAGGCGTGAGGGAACATCAGAAGCCTCTTTGGAGTTACCAGTTAGAAGCTGAGTTATGAAAAAAATTGAGCCGGTTGACAGACCCAAAAAGGGCGTCTCACGTCGGTTTATGGGTGGAGTCAAGCGGAACGGGTTGCAGCTGAGCTGTAGTCCACAATGTTTTGACAGTTCCACTTCACTGAGAAGGGTGTACAGTAGTTATAGTTGTAAAATTGACGAAGCCAAAGCGCTGTCTTCTGAACGGGTTTAACCTTTA